CTCCAATTTGATAGTGTCTATTTCTTAATTGAAGATAAATTTCTCTGCAACCACTCAAAATACAGGCTCCTGATAAATTTCTCTTACACAACATCATTAATAGTAGTATGTAGGAATAATGTATACTTCTACTAGTAGGCTAATATATATGTTACATGTATTCAATATCACGTGCTTTGTCAGTTTATACTAGAGAAAAGTTTTGTTGTATCACCCCTATGATCTTTTAAGTTTCACTATAATATTGGAGGTGACACTAAGTCACACATGAATAAATGCCCGATTTCAGGGAATAAATCCCTTCACACATGCTTCCAATAAATATAAGAGGGCATAATTTTAATACCTTACAAACCTCACTTCATTAAGGTAAATATCGTATTGTATCCAAACATTCCAGCTTGGTCATGGTTTCAGTCCACATAACATAAGTAGGGGGTAACACTTATTAACACAACATCATTGAATTTGAATGGGTTGAATTGATTTTTTAAGTTGGGAGATAAGTATGAGTGGACAGAACCATCCGAATCACCTTTTTTCTTCCCAAAAGTTTTTTAACAAAGGAGTGATGTGAATAAAATTCACTTTTATTAAGTTTATTTAAAGAAACCAAACATAAGATCGAGGTCGATAAAGGACACACTACCTTATACTTGGAAAAGGGGAGAAATAGACATTTGTTTATGAAAATATTTTTGAAAAGGGATCTCGACGTTGGATCGAGTTTTGAACATTTATTATGAAAGTATTTTTATTTTTTGAAAAAAAATAAACTCGACGTTGGATCGAGATTTTTACAAGTTTGGTTAGGAGTGCGTGAAGTGTACAAGAGTGAATAAATCATACAAGCATACAAGACATAATTTAAATATTTAGCACACAATACAAACCCCAAATATTATTTGCAAGAATTAAATAGAAATAATTTAAAAAAAGCAATTAATTAAAAAAAAGGAGGGTTCAAAAATAGCCTGTTTTAGTATAATTGGAGGTGTGGATAAGAAGGAGAATCATGTTGTGTGGGCTTGAGAGGTCGGGTAGAGGCATGGGAGAATCTACCTCTATGAAAAGATGGGTGCACGGATTTATGTTTTCATGACTAGTTTGATTGATAATGACTATGGCATGTATGAGTTGATGATGACATGTTTAGGTTCTTATAGCATGGCTTGATGTTGTTTCTTGTACTATGCTTGCACATGAACTGGACCATGTTATGAATGTGAACATTTGAGGTAGAACTAGGACTGCAATGTTTAAACTAGGAAATTGTGTTGAAGAAAGGCATGAGGTAAGAACAATGATGCATATATGTACTGCTGAACTGATATGTATATTTTTCTTGAGTATTTATAACCAATTGAATCTCACTAGAAACGTGTAATTTCAGTTTCTGCAATGCAAGATCTTAACATATTTTTATTTTCAGATTTATGATCTTGAATTTCGATTGTGTTCTGTATAGTTGCTGAAGTTGGTTGTAGTTCTGTATCATGGACGGATTTATGGTATAAGAATAATAAGTTGGTCATACGAAATAACGTCTGTTCTTTCTAGGATTTTTTAATTTAGGGTTGTTATTGTTTAGCCAATGTTGATGATTGCTAAGTGATGATAGGAATCTCTTCTTTTATTTGCTCATATTTTTTCATAGAATGCCTGCTAGTGTTCTTTGCCTGATCTTGTGTTGTTTAAGCTCGAATAGATCAGTATTCAATCCTCTTTCACCTTCAACATTCAGGAACTGTCGTTTCCTTCATTCATCAGGTTAAAGAAGATTGAATAGGGGCAGTTGTTGCACCCCAAAATTTGCCCTCATTCATCCGCATATTTTTTAATGAAGCAATAGACATTTATTTCGTCTCACAAAGCTTTCGAAGCTGTCGTGTCAGTTTGATCAGAAAACAGATAAAAATCAGAGATTCAAGGCAATATCGCTTTTATTCAGAGAACGTGGATAACTGACGACAAATTATGGTGCACATCGAGAAAAATAGCCTGAGATGAATTTTCGGTTGAAATCAAATATTTTTGCGAATTACTGGAATTATGCGATGCACAATCAAAATTTCTACTCATCACGAAAAATAAATAATAATAAAATGTTCATAATTTATTTTTATGACTTTTTACTATTAATTCGAAAAATAGTGAAAAAAAAATATTAATAATAAAAGTTCGCAATTTATTTTTTGCGATTTTTATTATTAATCGGTCCGATTATAAAAATCAACGAGAAAAAGAAATGAAAAAAAATAAGAAAGAAATAAATAAAAGAGAAAACAAAAAGAAAATAAAAAATTTATTTTCCATCCGGAAATTTTCTCTCCGTTCCAAACTACCGGGATTTTCTACCGGTAACCGAATTTCTTCCCCATTTCCGTTCAACCAAACAAAATTCCTTACACTATATAAATGAATTTTCTTCCCAATTTTCATAACTTTTCATTTTTGACAAAAAAAAACAAAATTTCCAAGTTATTTCCCCTCTTTCTCTGAAAATTCAAAACAAAAACAATATAACAGAAAAAAAAAAAAAAATTTCCCTTTCTTCTTTCTCTCTTTCTCTCTCCTTCTTGCTTTCCCGCGGCCGTCTCACCACCTCCCGACCACCTCTCTTTCTTCCGGCGAACAGCCTCCGCCTTCTCCCTCTCTCACTTCTCACCGCGAATTCCTCCGACACAACTCACCTCCGTCAAACACACGAAGACCACCGGGAATTTCTTCCCTTCCGTCGCCGGTCCTCTTCCATTTCCGCTCACTACCACCGAAGCCACTCCCGCTACACCAACAGCACCATAACTTCGGGCTTCACGTTTCCGAAAGGTTAGTACAACATCCCCTTTTTCTTAGCATAACGGTCCGCAAGATTGGTATCAAAGATTTATCTTGCGATAGTGTGTTTATGCTAGTGAATTCGTGATAATTGTTATGGAAATAGCTTGATGATTGTGTGTTGTTTAGATTTCTTGTGAGTTGAAAATGTCATGACTATTGTATTAAGAAATTTATTGAGAGTTTAAATCTGTTTCGGGTTTCCAGTGTGAGTCGAAACGGCAATTGGACTGTGATGAATTCCGATTGAAGTGTTGATATTGACACCATATTATGATAGTTCCATTACATTTGATTGATGCCATGTCGTATTGATAATTTTGATTGAATTTTCGATGCCGATAACATGTTTGTGGTGTTAATATGCTTTAGTCATTGATATCGGTGCTTTTCCATATGTGCTGCACATTTTTTGAGATGATTTTGTCGAGCATTATGGTGGTTACGAGTGGCTGTCCGAGTTTGTGTACGAGAGCATGTTGTAATGTCGAATTTTTGAACTTTTGAATCGAATCCATGAGTTGATTAGTTTCTTTGTGTTATTAGGAATTAGCACTTTTTGGCTTGAGTTTTTTAATCGGCAATGCACCGATAAATTGGAAGAAATATGACTTGAATTGAAAAGCACCTTTGAATATTAATTTGTTGTGCGAAAATCGATTCCGGTGCGCTTTGGTTCAAGTGTGTGTGGCTGCCCGATTTAATGGTGCATTCTCTTTGATGATTTCTTTTTAGATAATTCGTCGCCTTGCTTGTAAATACTTGTGCACATTGTTTCCATTTGATCCGGACCATTTTTGTGCGTTTTCGTGAAATAATACGTGGCTGCCCGGATTTGACTCGTTTGAGTGTAGTTTACTTTGATTTCAAGTCTCTATGTTTGCGATGAAAATTGAACAATAGCATAAGTTTTTGAGCTTAAATTTGATTGTTATTCATGGCTGCCCGAGTTTTGACATGTATATGTAGAACTTGTTTTTCATATTCTTGAGGTTGATTTAAATGATAACATGATTTTTGAGCCTTATTTGTCATTAGTTTGTGGCTGCCCGGTTTCGTTCTAATTGATTAAAGTTTGATTTGAGTTCATCTTTTCATGATATGTCAATAACAAGAATTTTCACTTCTAATTCCATCTGTGGACCGACCCTTTTGTGATGTTCATGTCTATTAGACTAATTGTATGCTTTTGCATTTCGTTTGTATTTGATCCGAACCGACTTTATATGCATTTTTACATGGTAATACGTGGCTGTTCGGTCTAGGTTCTGTTAACAGGTTAAAAAGGATAGAAGTTGTTTCTATTAGCAACTTAGCAATGATGTTAGGTAAACTAGCAGTCTAGTATACCAAACATCACCAAACAAGTATTGTGAACCTAGCTTGGACACAGCAACACCTAACTGCTATTTAATTAGTGTTGAGATTGAAACTTGTTATTCTCATTTTCCCCCAAATTTTTGGTTGATTTGCATGTACCCATAGATGATAGAACTCGAAAATTTGAGTTGGGTCATGCTTGAATGTTGTTTAATTGATGAATGTGATGAAACTTGACCAGGGATATTGGTAGACCAGAACAAAATGGTTACTTGCACTGAGCACTTGGAAAATTTGCAAAACTGGACATTAGACCAAAGAATTAAAATTCGTCTAGAAGATACCGGTTTTCCACGTTTAAGCGAACTTGCAAAATGTCAACATGATAGCCAGCTTCTGAAATGTGTGGTATCCCATTTCAATACAGAGACATGTGGATTTGAATTTGGTGGTATAAAATTAGTTTTTGGCTTGAAAGATGTTCTCGAAATTACAGGCTTGCACATTACAGGCCAGTCTGTCACTGGGACCGCTGGTGACATGACTTATTGGTCCAACCAATGTTTTGGACAAGATTTGACCTTTAAAAAACAAAGGGCAATTCGAGGAGCCATTAAGCTATCTGTTCTTAGAGAAAAATTTATGGAAGTTCCACCAAGAGCAACTGAAGTTGAACTAGATCGACATACTAGAGCATATGCTCTTTATGTTCTAGGTTCGTCCTTATTCAGTAGTTCTTCTAAGGGGATGTTGATACTCTCCATCTTCCATTGCTTTATCATGTTGAAAAAATAAAAGATTATGCCTGGGGTGCTGCTGCTCTTGCACACCTATATTGTTCTATGAAAAAAATTAAAGAGGGTAAAAAGCATTTGCACGGGATTGCATTGTCCCTGCAGGTAAGTTATTTTATATTTCCATTCTCCAATTAAAAAAGTATTTCCTTTTAACAATTGAGAAATTAAGTGTCACTTCTTTTTGTTGTGATTTGATAGATCTTTGTATTCCTACATCTGACAAAGATCAAGGACTTACTCATGTTATCGAGTTTGGATTTCGTAAATGAACAACTTCCGTTGATCAATGATTGGTCGCGTCATTTAGAACAATTTACCTTGAACAAATGTAAAAAGGTAGATTATTTGGATTTAATTAGCACAACGACTGCTAAAGAGGTAAGTCTTGTAATTTAACAACACCAATATTTTTATTCGAAGTTTTTGCTTTAATCAATTTAGGAATTGGAAATTGTGTTGCATTTGTAGGTTAACTACAATCCATATGATAATATTCAATTCCCCGACCTGAAAGAATATTCAACTTTCGAGTTGGAAAGAAGGGTATGTTGTAAATCAACCATACAACCAACCTTTCTCATCAACTTTAATGAGGTTGCATTTTTTCAACCCCATAAATTTAAAAAACAATATTCTAATGCACGTGCCGGGGATAGAAAATGCACATACAAATGGAAATTGTACCCAAGAAGAGGTACAAAAGGGAAAAATTGGCAAGAGACGAAAAAGCATACAAAATATCTCAAGCATTGGAGCATAAGTTGTTTTAGTAAAAGACCACAACCTGGTATGTTTCTAATTCTACAGTCTTAAAAATAAAAATAGTTTCTGTATTTGCACACGTCTTTATATGAAACTAAGACTTACTTCAGTTTAACTACTTTGTGTTGATACAAATTACTTAAAACAAATTTTTTCAGAGGAACAACAACCCGAAAGAGTACAAGATGTTCGAACAGAAGAGCCAATTGAGGTGGAACACCATAATTTGGATGATGGTATAATTCTTTTCTCTACACCAGTGGGAGTTTTCCTTATTATTATCGTTTTGTATTATGTTTGTCAAAATATAAAAATTAATTATTAGCAGGACAAAAACCTCAATATCGTTGACAGCTGTCTAAGCTAGATTAGCTAAGTCTACTAAGCTAGGATTATACAACTAACTTAGACTAATCTTATTACATTATCTAATAAGTTTATACTACATTGTGCTTACACCCATCATATGGCATTCTCGAATAAGTTTGTGGTTGGGCCTAACTCAACCCTACAAAACCGGCTTGTAGGGTGAGGATTGCCCCCACTTATAAACACATGTTCATGCCATATATTGTCCGATGTGGGACTCTTAACAAAGTTTATACTACATTTTGCTTACACCCATCATATGGCAGTCGTGGACAATCAAGAAAAGCATTGTGGAAGGAAAAGAAAAAGCATATGGAGTTCAAAAGAAAATGAAGTTGCTCATGAGGAGGGTATAATTCTTTCCCTTACCTCACTAATCCTTTTTTTATTATCATAATATTTAATATTTAATCACCCTTTTCTTTCTTTTTTTTATCTTTAAAACGATGCGTTTCATGACTATTATGTCACCAACATGAGTGGTTGTATTGAAGATGCAGGAGATAACAATGAAGATGGGGGAAGAAACAAAGACCAAGGAGACACTAGGCAAGTGGAAGCAACATGTACCCGTTTGTCTGTTTCTAGAGTGTATATACGCCGCCGCAAAGGGAGTAACACGGGAAAAATGAAAACCAGTGAAGATGTGACGGTTGGCATTAAGCACTCCCTATATCTGCTGAAAGAACTACTTCCATGTTTAAAACAGTTGAGTCACGAAGAAATGATTGAGAAAGAGATAGAGGCTAGCAGACAAAGTATGTTTTCCTTTAAGAATTTCAGTTTAGTTTTTTCATGTATGGATCTATGTTGTTTCATGAATAAATTTGTCAACAACCACCTAAAACCACCTAATAAATGGCTTGTGCACGGCCACCTACCTTGTGCTGAAATTCAATCAAATTTTATTAGAAGTATGGGGGCGACAAGTATCAAACTCTAGACTACTTAGTCATAGAGGCTCTGGTACCATGTCTATAACCACCTGTCCCCAAAGCTTAGGCTGTCAGGTGAAGGCAAGTTAAAATGATGCTGATATTGAGCTAAATTTGATCAGGGTATGTGTTCCAGTAGAATTGTCTGTTTTATAAACTTTGACTTTTGAACCCTATGACTGTTGGCCTTTGGATTACTTACCTATTTGATATCCTGCTTTTTACTATTTTTATTGTATGTTTTGTTGGATTATAGGTCCAGTTTGCCTCTCATCTTATGCCCTAGTTAATACTAATTTCTAATAATTATTAATTTCATCCCATATATGTTCAGTTTTTAATTTGCTTTTGGGATGTTCGTTACAGGGCTCTTAGTCTCACAGCTATGTATAGCAGAGCTAGATGACTCGGGCGGAGACCGGGTGTTCTGGTGGGGAATTATTCAATCTATTGTTCTCTTGTAGTTATCCTCATGTTTTATAGCTGTTTACTTAACCCTTTTTTTTGTAGTGACAAATGCAAGACGTCAATATTTGCCCTCCACAAACATTGTCAGACATGCAATAGTGACTTTTGTCTCGCCTGTTGTCGTGACTTTTGTGATGCGCAGCTTCGAGGTGGTGCTGATCCAATTGAGTCACGTGTTACTGCCAAACATGGGGTTCACAAACGGCCAAGATCTGATAAGCATGAGGATAGTGATGACAGAGTTTGCTGTGATGGGTTTCTTGAACTGAGAAGCTTCTATCCTCCAAGTCACATTGCTGATTTGGTAGATGAAGCAAAAAAATTTGTAGACAAATACATGCATCGCATGCCTGTGATTTCAGACAAAACTCATAAGAACTTGCATTCAAGTTTGAATCGTAAGGCAGCATCTCGTAAAGAGTCAAGCGATAACGATATATATTGTCCGGAGGCTAAAAATACATGTCCTGAGGATTTACTACATTTTCAATGGCACTGGAGAAAAGGGGAGCCAGTAATTGTCAGGGAACTGCTTGGAGGTACTTATAATTCATTATGGAATCCATCAAGCATGAGCCGTGCAATCTGTCAGAAGCACAAGACTGTGAAGGCCATTGATTGCTCAAGTTTGCAGCAGGTTTTTTGCTATTTCTCAATCTAAACATTGGGGTATTTTGGCTGACATTCAATGTTATTATCATTCTCAAGAAAAATAAAAAACTTCCACACATTTGGCATCTCAAAAAATTCCATTATTTTTTTCTTTTTCCATTCTAATGCCAGACAGACTAGGGTAAATCATATCTGGTTTGTTCTATTATCTGTAAATAGTAATTTTTGCATTTTTAATTTGAGTTGCTGATTGAGTGCAGAAAGTTGTTAACACCAAGAGGTTCTTTACTAGTTACACTAAAGGTTGGAAGTGTTCAGAGAAGCGGCCTTGTTGTATGTTGAAGTTGAAAGATTGGCCTCCTTCTGAATCATTTAAGGAATGTTTACCTGATCATTTTGAGGAGTTCGTATCTTTCTTGCCGTATAAAGAATACACTCATCCTATAAGTGGTTCTCTTAACCTTGCCGTGAAGTTGCCTGATGGTTGTCTGAAGCCAGACATGGGGCCAAAAGCATACATTGCATTTGGATTTGCTAAGGAGCTTGGGTGTGGTGATTCTGTGACAAAGCTCCATTGTGACATGTCTGATGCAGTATGCTTCAATTCTTGTTGTCTTTCATGGCCTTTTTTTGTTCTAGAATTTATTTGCAATTATTGTAAAAAAAGTTGTTATTTTTTTAATCAAATGATGTATTCTGTTTTTTTTTGGTTGGAATCTGGCATTTTAAGGTAAACGTGTTGACTCATGTTGCTGAAGGGAAATTGGGTTCTGAGGATGTTACTGCCATTGAGAAATTGATGCCAAAGAACCTTGAGCAAGACAAGAGGGAACTACATGATATTCATCAGGATGGGGAGGCTAATGACATTATTTCTTCAGACACCGGCGCTAATGATGATGGCGCGTCTTCTGGGTCAAAGCTCAAAGAAGTTGAAAAAGGTACAGTGGAGCAAGGAGATAGTTTGTTGGATGCAGTGGATTCTTTGGATGGGGCTCTCTGGGATATTTTTCGAAGAAAGGATATACCTAAATTGGAGAGATATTTAAATAAGCATTTCGGAGAGTTCAGTCATTTTGGCGGTCTTCCTTTAAAGGAGGTAAATTAGTTACCACTATTTTGCATTTTCTATCTGGATGCCCCTTGTTATCGGTCAGTTTTATTGGGAGAAACCCAAGCCCGACACTGACTAGATTTTGTGGAAAAATATACTGAATATATTATCAATTGTAATTTAGTGTACAAATAGCAAAATAGTTGACTATATCTATATATATTGAATGAAATATTCTTTGGTTATGTAGGTTACTCACCCCATCCATGATCAGACCTTTTATCTGACTGTGGAGCATAAGAAGAAGCTTAAGGAGGAGTGTGGTTAGTAATGTTATATGAATTTTCCTATATTGTTTGGTCAATCAAATTGTACCATTTTTGTTGATAATTTGACACTCAATTGTAGGAATTGAGCCCTGGACCTTCACACAGAAGCTAGGAGATGCTGTTTTCATTCCAGCTGGATGTCCTCATCAAGTCAGAAATCTGAAAGTAAAATTTACATTCACAGCGAAGTTTTTCTTGTTTGTCTAGAAGTGTATGTATTCTGTGAAGTTTTGCTAGGAATAAGGAATAACCAGTAACCATACTAGGTTTAGCATGAGTAATTCTTGGCTTATAGCATTTTTTTATTCAACATACTATTGATATTTGTTAAAAGAGTGAAAAGAGAGACATGTGAAGTTTTGCTAGGAATAAGGAATAACCAGTAACCATACTAGGTTTAGCATGAGTAATTCTTGGCTTATAGCATTTTTTTATTCAACATACTATTGATATTTGTTAAAAGAGTGAAAAGAGAGACATATCTTGAATGAAATCTGTGTGTCTAAACCAAGATCACACACCTTCTATATAGAGAGTATATACAATAATTACATTGATTTCCTAGGAAGTTGTAAAGACAGCGAATACTAATGGGTATCCTAAGTACAATCTAAGGATAATAAAGATAAAGAATGAGCATAGGAATATGACAAGGTACAATGAATATGGAAATAATCAACTCTCTCCTCATATGCACCGAGCTTGTTATATATGTAGCTTATTCGAGGACCTCTTAGAGATTTAGTGAAGACATCTGCCAATTGGTCGTTTGACCTGACGAAACTTGTGATGTTGTCTCCTGATTCAATATTCTCTCGGACAAAAAAGGGGTAGTCTAGTGTAGAAGCTTACCCCACTTTCAAGTGTTTGTGTAAATTCCTATGATATGCATTGTTATAGTACACTAGTATTAGTCTGTTAGTGTAGAAAGCCAGAGATGAGCTGGCACATGCCAGCTCAGCTCATTGATGGTTACAAGCTTGTTAGCTATAAATATATGATTAGTGCATGTATCTTCTCAAGTAAGAATCATAATAACAATGAGTTTGTTTAGCTCTAACTACTCTAACATGCATTTTGCAGTCATGCACCAAGGTTGCACTTGATTTTGTCTCACCTGAAAATGTTGGTGAGTGCTTCCGTTTGACAGAAGAATTCCGCGAACTTCCGGAAAATCATGGGTCCAAAGAGGACAAATTGCAGGTTTGCAGAGACTACTTTTCCAGATTGGATTTTGCTGTTTATATGCTTAAATAGAAATCATGCTATCCTATTTCTCTAGCCCAAACCTAACTAAAACCCAACCCATTGGAACTTACTCCAGCTGAAGTAATAAAGAGAGAAGCGACTCTCATTTTCCCAAAATTGGGGGAGTTTGAAAACTAATTAAGAAGGGAGATAGAGTAGGAGGGGAATCGAATTGCAGATAGAGGAAGAACACAAGAAAAAAATTGATTATACCACTTCACCTTCATGCATTTTAAAACCCCTCTTCATCCTTCCATTTTAAGAGAGAGAGAGGAGGGGAAGGGATGAATTGTGTACTCTGAGTTTATTTCATATATGTTAACTTCCGCTATAGTTTTGAATTGTGGGATGTTGCATAATGCATCCTGATTTTTCCTGATTGCTGGTAATATGGTAACAGGTGAAGAAAATGGTTATACATGCTGTGGATGATGCGGTCAAAAGGTTGAAAAACTCTATCTTCGGTTAAACCTCGTGTAAGTGGTGGACTAGGCTAAAATTTTTAAATTAATTGCAATTATTTTATCTATCAGAGAAATTAATCAATTATCAAGTAAACTTCATTTAATTTATCAAAAATAGCAATAACCTCCAATGGTCTATGTTCCACTGGTAGAATTTGTTCATAAAATAGCTGCAGAATCGTTTGTTCTACACACTTTTTGTTGCTGTTGTTGAAGCGTTTATGTTTGTTCTAATGCTGAAGAATGGATCCAAAATTGGGAGATGTAGCTTTGAATTTCGTTTTTGGCCTGTTTTTGCACTAAATATCCACTGGTAAATAGCTCCATATATTTCCATAAAACATCTATATTTATTATTTTAGTAATGTAGTCTCATCTATTATATTACGATAAATAATATGGAACAAGACATAGATGATGATAATATTCAAGAAGATGATATAGAAGATTAAGATGAGTTCGACAAATTTAAATGAGTTGGATGTTGTTTTAGGTTTCTACTTAAGTATTATTGTAAGCTACAATGTTCATGCTTCATCTGCATCACGACGAGGCTGTAGACTAGTTTTAGATGTGGAAGTGGTTGGTAGTTAGACTAATCTTATTACATTCTCTAATAGCCCCCCTTCAAACTATAGGGTGTCAAAGACTCTCAGTTTGTCTCTAAGTTGCAGAAACCTTGCTGTGGATAGTGGTTTGTTTAGAATATCAGCCCACGAGTTCCTTGAGAAGAGATTGCATCCACAAAATTTCAGCAGATGCTTGACCCAAGCTTCTGTACTCTGCTTCAGCACTAGACCTGACTACTAGAGTTTGCTTCTTGGCCCACTGGAAAACTAGATTTTGGCCTAAGTAGATGTAGGCACCTGAAGTGCTTTTTCTATCATCTGGGTCAGAGGCCCAATCAGCATCACAAAAGCCTACGAGAGACATGGGTTCATGCTTAGGGGCTGGCTTGATGATTTCAAATGTGAACAAAGACGAATCATCCTCATTGTTGGGACAATTGTTGAAAATTAAAGGATAATTAATTTCCGTAGGTGTGTTCAAATATGACAAAGTTGAAGAGGATAAAAGTGCTCCATAGACAAATGTGGAAATTGCCCTCAAATTTGTCTGAAGTAATTTTGGTTAGTTTTTGCACTAATATCTACCAGTGGAAGTTAAGTGTTAAAACTGTCTGAACGAAATTTTGATCAGTTTCTACACTAACATCCACCAGTGGATTTTGTCTCAGGCTACTGAAAGTTTGAATTTCGAATACAAGGAAGATGTGTTGTTTCACAAGTTTGCAACTCTTGATGAAACAACACCATATGTTTTGTTCTTGAGTAAAGGACAGTGTTGTGAGCTAATGAGACTGCACTCATATAAGGAGTTCGATCTCCTTGCTCACCGCAACACTCTATTCTCAAATGATTTGATCATCTTTGATTAGCTAATGCAAAGACACTTCCTATGTAATCACTGTTGCTTTTTAAGCATATCATGATTACAATGACATTCTCGAGTTGTTATCCTCCAAATTTTTGTTTTTTGATGAGTTGATTTCAAATGTGAACAAAGACGAATCATCCTCATTGTTGGGACAATTGTTGAAAATTAAAGGATAATTAATTTCCATAGGTGTGTTCAAATATGACAAAGTTGAAGAGGATAAAAGTGCCCCATAGACAAATGTGGAAATTGTCCTCAAATCTGTCTGAAGGAATTTTGGTTAGTTTTTGCACTAATATCTACCAGTGGAAGTCAAGTGTTAAAACTGTCTGAACGAAATTTTGATCAGTTTCTGCACTAACATCCACCAGTGGATTTTGTCTCAGGCTACTGAAAGTTTGAATTTCGAATGCAAGGAAGATGTGTTGTTTCACAAGTTTGCAACTCTTGATGAAACAACACCTTTTCAGCATAAGATTGTAATGGTTCACCTATAGTTACATTATGCACCACTTCACGAAGTGTTGTGTATTTTGAATTCGAAATTCAAACTTTCAGTAGCCTGAGACAAAATTCAATGCACTTCCACTGGTGGATTTTAGTGCAGAAACTGATCAAAATTTCGTTCAGACAGTTTTAACACTAAACATATACTGGTGAATATAAGTGCAAAAACTTACCAAAATTCCCTTCAAACAAATTTGAAGGCAATTTCCACTTTTGTCTATGGGGCACTTTTATCGTCTTTAATTTTGTCATATTTCCAGCAATGATGTAAAACAAATATCTGAAAAATAAATAATATGTGATGATCATAGTGATTTAGGGTCTTGAAATTCTCCATTTCTTGATCTTTTTCACTTTTATAGTGAATTCTTGTTCTGAAAGTTCTGGGTGTCAACCAAGGGTTTAGACAACTTCTAAACATCATTTAGATGGTGTCTATACCTTCCTTAGCCTCTCAAAACCTCCATAACCAAAAATCACTTTTCAACCTCCATTAAAGGTCTTTTTAAGGTCTTAACTTGTCATTTTTCAAACCAAACACCACCAAGCCAAATTAACCCATCAAAAAACTTCTAATAATCATATAGAAGCTGTACCACACCTCTAAACACTTGCCAAGAGCCTATAACCAGAAATCACCTTTCAAATTTTCCATTAAAGAACCTTTGAACTCAAACTTGCCAAAATCAATTCCTCTCGTGCGTTTTGAGGCTTTATGGTTTAGATAGCTTCTAAACATCATATAGAAGCTATTCAAACATCTGCATTTGATCTGTAACACCATTTTTATAGAGCACTCACCATAACTTTTTCAGGTTCAAGGTGAAATCGTATTTTTAGTTGCAGGCAATTTCAAGAACTTTTGAACATTGCAAAAGCTTCCTGGAGGATCATAGAAGGTGTCCAGATCATTGGAACACTCCCAGGTCCTCTAAATTGTGCTACACGAATTCATTTTCAGAGGGTTTAATTGTTAGAATCCATCATTTTTGGGTTCTTCGGATTTTTACAGAAATTCATCATGATCATTGACTGTTAATTGTTATGGATTACATGGTTGAGTTCGTGTGATTATTCTGATCAATTTAGAGTTTTATTTTGTTAAAAATGGTTAAGTTTTGGCAAAGTTTGAAAATTGAAAATTGGCCCCCTACTTATCACAAAATTATTTTCTATATTTAAATATCTTATTTATTTTAACTTAAAATTATAATTTAAACTATTTAAATTAATATAAAATGAATAAATAAAACTTAAATTTTATAATAATAATTTAAAATAATCTTAAACAAAAAAGGTTGATGTAGTACTCAAAATTCAAAAATAACCTCAAAAAGGATTCTTTTTGCTACAGCAAACGCATGATAGGAAAATACTAGCTGCATTCAAGAAATATAGATGTAGTACTCTAAAAAATTAAAAGTTTCAAAAAAATATGACTATAATATATATTTTTACTATTTCGTATTTTTTTTCAATTTTAGTAAAAAATTGCACAAAGCAATTAAATTTAAAGTTTTATTTATTTAGTTTATTACATTATCCTATTTTTAATTTAAAAAAGGCAATGTAAGAATATTAAATTATTTTAAATTTATTTTCTTCTATTGCAATGCTTTCAATTTATTTTATAATAAAAATCAACGTAGTTATTTGTTTTGTTTGGATTCATAATTATATTTATTAAAATTTTTATATAAAGTAATATTTGTTTCAATCATTAATCTTTGTTAAAAAATTACAATTCATCTTTGTTAAAAAATTACAATTGATTAGAATTAAAAATGCAAAAATATAGATTCTAAACAACATTCACCATTCCATTTCAAATACAAAATATAAATAAATAACAAAATAATAAATCATAGACCAACTTCTTCTCTTGTTTTATTCAAATCTTTCTTTTTAATAGTACTCGTAGTACATTTTTTCCATTCCTATGCTACAAGTACAAAGAGCACTGCATGATGATACTGCATTTTCTAAAATACGTTGATTTTCTGCAGATTTTGACATTGACATTTCAATGCTCTGAATTCTTGTGCAACAAACAAACAAATTGGAAACTTGTGCATATTGGGTTTGAGACCTTGCAGATGCCTGGGAAACCGGTGCATATTTGGGCGTGAGGGCCTTGCAGATGCCTCGGAAAAATGGCATAGTTGTTGAATGGTACCGCATGTATTGCACTGTTGAGTCACATAACATGTTGCATTATTTTATTGATATATGATGTGTATGATTGTTGTGAATTGGATGATCGATTGAGGTGAGATTACATGATGTTGAATTCTGTATGACTCTGATTATGTATCACTTATCATAATCCTGTTTATGTGGTTTGATATCTCACCCTTTGCTTGTTTTTCGCCATTGCCTTTATATTGGTAATGTACAGGTAATCGCGAGGAATAGCTTATAACAGATAGAGTGAGTCTTTGGTATCGGTCGCTCTGATACGTAGCACTCTGGGGGAATTGGTGTCTTGTCTTGTTCATTTATTTGAAAGTTGAATTTAGGTTTTCTATTGAAAAGAGTTATATTTTATCACGAACAAAGTATAACACAGTCAAATGAGGTTGATGTGGTCTCCATAACGGTCATGTAGCAGTCACGAAGATATCAAAAACCATGAAAATCACGCCTATGGTTCACGTGGAAGTCGTTCTAGCCGTGGAGGCGGTCGTTTTGGCCGTGGTGGAGGACGTTTTGGCAAAACGACGTGTCAGATTTGTCATAAATCTAGTCGCGATGCTTCAGTGTGTTATTATCGCTATTCCAGCTCCAGTGTGTTCTTTCACATTTTGATGTTATAGTAATTCAAGCAATCTCTTCCAACTACTTGTAGAAAAGTCAGAAATTTATCAAATATTTATATAACCGGTATAATTATAACTTTCTAAAACAATCATGCATATTTCCATTTAACTACGGTGACGGAAAAACATAATTATAAAATATATTACATTTCTAAAGAGTTTTCCTAAAGCTTATAAATTTAGAAATAATCATCATTCATCATTTCATCAACCCATTAATATATTTATTTAAATAATATATTCTTTTTACTGGTATATTTTAACATAAACAAATATTTAACAAATCAATTTAAAATCCAAATAATATTCAAAAATATCACTTCTAATATGCTTAATAATAATAAGTTAATTACATATAAAATCTTTCTAATTACATGAATGCCAAAATAGAATCATAAAGTTAAACAAAAAAAAAAGCTTTATATAAAATAGGAAAGTTATAATTTATTTGAATCAACATTTAAAAGAGTTTTTAAAAATTAGGATGTTTATATTAATTCTAAACCCTGAACCCCGAACCCGGAACCCGGAACCCCAAACCCAAACTGAACCCCAAACCCTAAAAACTGAACCCCAAACCCTAAAACCTAAACCCGAACCCGAAATCCTAAATCCTAAACCGAACCCCCTGCAACGATAAGTGTTCTTTAAGAAATTCGGTCAAGCCTTTGCATACTGGTAAAACAGCCACCAAGGCCAACAACATTACATAATAAAGATTACGGCCACAAGGACCGATTTGTTCGAAGGTTACATAAAAAAAGGGGCAGCATACTGGTAAAACAGATAAGTGTTCTTTAAGAAATTCGGTCAAGCCTTTGCATACTGGTAAAACAGCCACCAAGGCCAACAACATTACATAATAAAGATTACGGCCACAAGGACCGATTTGTTCGAAGGTTACATAAAAAAAGGGGCAGCATACTGGTAAAACAGCCACCAAACTCCTCGTCATCTTCATTTTCCTCTTCAACTTCGACCAAAAAATAGGGAGAAATGTTAGATAACTACAATGGATAGAATTGCCAAAAATATAGCAATTTAGAATAACATACTTACTTAGTGGATGGTGAGAAATCTTTAATAAAGGCAACCTGCTTGGCCTCTGACATTTTTGACCACATTCGAGCTCTCACCATCATTTGACCAGTTTCAGGAAAAAAATTATTGATAGTGTCATTTACTTGCCGGGCAGACAATTGGTCAGTATCGAAAAGACGAGTGAGTTGTTTAGAAATATTCTCCCGTTCCTCCATACCTATCACTAGCAACATGCCAAGCACATTGAGTTGTTTAGAAATAAAAAATAATGCATGACAAGCATCCCTGTACACTAATGTAAGTTGCAAGATGTTACCTAGTTCTTCAAAATTTTCAGAACATTTGAGTCTCCTCTCACCTGGAAATATCCATAGCAAGTAAGATAAATAGATAACAACAATAACACCAATACAGGACAAATCATGGCCAAGAGTCATATTAATCTTGTTATAAATGGTTTGTTAATCTTTTAATTAATTACTTATAAAAATTGCAAGCTGTTACCTGATGATGTTGATGACCTTCCTCTCAATCTCTTGACAGGATTCTTTCCCCCACTCCTTCCGCCCGAGTTGAAACTGGTTTCACCAACTTGTTCATCACTGACCAGCAATCCAGTGTTTTTCATATTTTGCATTACTACTTCGAGCTGCTCAATTGATAGGCAGCCCTTTTGGTCAGCCAAGGGCTCCAATTTAAACACTGCCGCAACGTCTCTCTTCAAAGATTCATCGGTAAGCCATTCCATATGTGGGTCCATAGCATAACTTCTGGCATAATCGGAGACAACGAAAAATAATGACCCCAAATTTATAGGTAAATGACGCTGTTCAATCAAAACTCTTAACAAATCCTTCCACAAGTTTGTATCCTTCCAGTCTCTAAATTTGTCGAACGACCCTTCTCCATATCTTGCCAATCTAAGTTGTCTAAAAACTTCATTAACGTCTACTATATTTATATTCATATTATTTGGACGAGCCTGCAAAGAAGAAAACATTCTGAACCCCAACTAACTTGAATGCCAAAGAATACAACTCAACAAAGCAACTTTCAAAGTTACTGCTGGGATTAAAAATACCAGCAACTTTCCAAGTTACTGCTGGATTAAAAATACCAAATTTGAGCTGAACAATAAATAATATTAGTACAATGAAATTTCAGACAGCGAGAATCAAAATTGCCAAATACAAATCCGATAGAAACAATCCTAAAATTACCAAAGTATGCCTCTTGCTGTTACAGCCACTATGAGAGTCAAACTCAAACTTTCTTTTATTAGCTGCAGTCAAAACTGAACAAAAAATTAAAGAACAATATGCAACAAAATTTAAAGAACAAAGCGGCCAATTTATCTAATAAAGCATGCATGTTCTCTATGCTATGAAGCCCAGACTCGGAGAAGGACACGGACACGAAGACACCGCTAATACGGAGCAAAATTTATGTTTATTTAAACTTAGTACTTTCAATCAACAAAAAAAAAGGACATAAATCCACCAAAACAAAATGATACGAATCATATCATGGTCACTCCACATAGAGAAAACGAACCTCTAAGCCTGGCTCATCCAAAGACAAGTCAGCAACTTCAAGATATCCAGTGCTATCTATTGATCCAAACTCATTTCTAGCAGCATCCCACATTTTAGATTCCTCTTGATATTGGGAAGTGATCCTTGATAGAAGTCGAAGGTTTTACTAAGCACATATACTAAAGCTTTCGCTAGATGTGCGATGTGGTGCTATTTATCTTGTTTCTATTCAAAGAATGAATAAATGAATGTGCTCAAATTTAACAACATGCCGATGATAAAAAAACTTGTGGAAACAGAAGCAGTTGAATATGAAAAATAAGGAATCCTAATTGTGTAAATAAGGAAACAGAAACCCAGAACTAAGGTGAAAACACGCCTCAGTGTGTGTAAAGTATGTCAATCAACTTTAAAGAAAAATTATGAGTTTTATAAAATGAACAAATACATGGATACCCTCTTATACAACTAATAAGTAAAAAATTATAATGTTGGCTCGATTTCGTGGTTAAACCTCGATTTCTCGTGGCACACACGGCTTAACTAGATTTACCAAATGGAAAATATCGTCTTATGATTAGTAACAGAGAGGTTAGAGGAGTCTCATTACCCTGTTCTGACCATATTAACGTGCATGTCATAACTAACTAGATTTTTGATACAGAGGCCACTGGCCTTGAGGAAGAGAGAGAACTGAGAGACAACAAGAAGAGCTGCGAGTCGCTACTGACCAGATTATCCAGCAGAAGACTGATTTCCTTGACATGACCCAGCAAGATATGGGAGATTTGATCGAGCAGACGGATGAAGTTAGCCTAGAGTTGACAGATATGAGACAGATTGTGTATCATGTCCCTCACCCGTCTTTTCAGAGAGGAGGCATGGGACGACACCGCGACCGAGGTCGTCATCATTGAGATACACCAGGTTTATCTACTTCTTCTTTCACGTTGTATTAAAACATTAAGGATAATGTTTAATTCAAGTGTGGGGGAAGATCTCAACCTTGATATCTAAAAATGTAAGAGGCCGGTTGAAATACGCCTCATTGATCCTCTAATTACTATGGACCTAACGTTGGGACAATGATGTAAAACAAATATCTTTTGAAATAGTTATTTATTTAACGCCTAGTCCTAACGTTGGGACAATGATGTAAAACATATATCTTTTGAAATAGTTATTTATTTAACGCCTCGTCCCAACGTTGGGGCCAAGTTAAAAAAGGTTTTACACTCCATCCCAACGTTGGGACAAAGTTAAAAAAGGTTTTATCAAGAAGAAATTTGATTTTTATGTTGTTCATTTATCTGAAAAATAAATAATATGTGATGATCATAGTGACATAGAGAAAACCTGAAGAAGATTGATGAAACAATATCAATACTAGATTGATATCGAGAAAACATGCATATGCTGGTTATTTTTTGTACATCATTTTTTTAAAAAGTAAATATGCAATGATGCAACATGACAGGATCAAAGCTCCACAACACTGGATATAGCTAAACTGTTGCATAGAATCACATGGGTGTAGTCTAGGTCAGGGTAGGTCAAAGAGAAACGCAACTTCGACGATTCGCCTGAAAGTAACACCGTCACAGCACCTACGTAGGTGACGATAATACCCCCATTTTGAAATAGTTATTTATTTAACGCCTAGTCCCAACGTTGGGGCCAAGTTAAAAAAGGTTTTACACTCCATCCCAACGTTGGGACGGGGTTATAAATTGCAACATTAGCTGTTTACTTATATTAATAGTTTATCAAGAAGTAATTTGATTTTTATAAATATAATTTCATAAAATATATTAATAAAACTTAAAATAATAATATTAATAAAGTTTAAAAAATATTATATAATAAGTTAATAAATAAATAAAGTCCATGTGGTTAAAAAAATAAATAAAATAAAAAATTACCACGTGGACTGCCACGTATGCACTTAGAGAGAATCTTGGTTGCAATGTGGCAGTCAGGTGTGTATCCGAGGGAATATGAAAACTGCAAGGTGGGGGGTTTAAAAAAAAATCTTTCACAGGAGCTAAAAGCAAAACTCGCTAACGTTAAAGGAGGACAAATGGCTATTAACCCTAAATTATATAAATAGTTTTATCAAGAAGAAATTTGATTTTTATGTTGTTCATTTATCTGAAAAATAAATAATATGTGATGATCATAGTGACATAGAGAAAACCTGAAGAAGATTGATGAAACAATATCAATACTAGATTGATATCGAGAAAACATGCATATGCTGGTTATTTTTTGTACATCATTTTTTTAAAAAGTAAATATGCAATGATGCAACATGACAGGATCAAAGCTCCACAACACTGGATATAGCTAAACTGTTGCATAGAATCACATGGGTGTAGTCTAGGTCAGGGTAGGTCAAAGAGAAACGCAACTTCGACGATTCGCCTGAAAGTAACACCGTCACAGCACCTACGTAGGTGACGATAATACCCCCATTTTGAAATAGTTATTTATTTAACGCCTAGTCCCAACGTTGGGGCCAAGTTAAAAAAGGTTTTACACTCCATCCCAACGTTGGGACGGGGTTATAAATTGCAACATTAGCTGTTTACTTATATTAATAGTTTATCAAGAAGTAATTTGATTTTTATAAATATAATTTCATAAAATATATTAATAAAACTTAAAATAATAATATTAATAAAGTTTAAAAAATATTATATAATAAGTTAATAAATAAATAAAGTCCATGTGGTTAAAAAAATAAATAAAATAAAAAATTACCACGTGGACTGCCACGTATGCACTTAGAGAGAATCTTGGTTGCAATGTGGCAGTCAGGTGTGTATCCGAGGGAATATGAAAACTGCAAGGTGGGGGGTTTAAAAAAAAATCTTTCACAGGAGCTAAAAGCAAAACTCGCTAACGTTAAAGGAGGACAAATGGCTATTAACCCTAAATTATATAAATAGTTTTATCAAGAAGAAATTTGATTTTTATGTTGTTCATTTATCTGAAAAATAAATAATATGTGATGATCATAGTGACATAGAGAAAACCTGAAGAAGATTGATGAAACAATATCAATACTAGATTGATATCGAGAAAACATGCATATGCTGGTTATTTTTTGTACATCATTTTTTTAAAAAGTAAATATGCAATGATGCAACATGACAGGATCAAAGCTCCACAACACTGGATATAGCTAAACTGTTGCATAGAATCACATGGGTGTAGTCTAGGTCAGGGTAGGTCAAAGAGAAACGCAACTTCGACGATTCGCCTGAAAGTAACACCGTCACAGCACCTACGTAGGTGACGATAATACCCCCATTTTGAAATAGTTATTTATTTAACGCCTAGTCCCAACGTTGGGGCCAAGTTAAAAAAGGTTTTACACTCCATCCCAACGTTGGGACGGGGTTATAAATTGCAACATTAGCTGTTTACTTATATTAATAGTTTATCAAGAAGTAATTTGATTTTTATAAATATAATTTCATAAAATATATTAATAAAACTTAAAATAATAATATTAATAAAGTTTAAAAAATATTATATAATAAGTTAATAAATAAATAAAGTCCATGTGGTTAAAAAAATAAATAAAATAAAAAATTACCACGTGGACTGCCACGTATGCACTTAGAGAGAATCTTGGTTGCAATGTGGCAGTCAGGTGTGTATCCGAGGGAATCTGAAAACTGCAAGGTGGGGGGTTTAAAAAAAAATCTTTCACAGGAGCTAAAAGCAAAACTCGCTAACGTTAAAGGAGGACAAATGTCTATTAACCCTAAATTATATAAATAGTTTTATCAAGAAGAAATTTGATTTTTATGTTGTTCATTTATCTGAAAAATAAATAATATGTGATGATCATAGTGACATAGAGAAAACCTGAAGAAGATTGATGAAACAATATCAATACTAGATTGATATCGAGAAAACATGCATATGCTGGTTATTTTTTGTACATCATTTTTTTAAAAAGTAAATATGCAATGATGCAACATGACAGGATCAAAGCTCCACAACACTGGATATAGCTAAACTGTTGCATAGAATCACATGGGTGTAGTCTAGGTCAGGGTAGGTCAAAGAGAAACGCAACTTCGACGATTCGCCTGAAAGTAACACCGTCACAGCACCTACGTAGGTGACGATAATACCCCCATTTAAACCTCGATTTCTCGTGGCACACACGGCTTAACTAGATTTACCAAATGGAAAATATCGTCTTATGATTAGTAACAGAGAGGTTAGAGGAGTCTCATTACCCTGTTCTGACCACATTAACGTGCATGTCATCACTAACTAGATTTTTGATACAGAGGCCACTGGCCTTGAGGAAGAGAGAGAACTGAGAGACAACAAGAAGAGCTGCGAGTCGCTACTGACCAGATTATCCAGCAGAAGACTGATTTCCTTGACATGACCCAGCAAGATATGGGAGATTTGATCGAGCAGACGGATGAAGTTAGCCTAGAGTTGACAGATATGAGACAGATTGTGTATCATGTCCCTCACCCGTCTTTTCAGAGAGGAGGCATGGGACGACACCGCGACCGAGGGGGTAACACCTACTAACATAAGATAGTTCTAATTCAAAAGTGATCCATGTTGAGTTGTTCAAGAATTTTCACTCAAGGACTTGGGGAAACTTGACTACTTTCTTGGTATTGAAGTGCATCACTCTGACTCTGGATCTCTCCTCCTCTCTCAAACTAAAAATACATAAGGGACTTATTAACAAAGGCTACATCATCTGACAAGTAAACGCCCGTGAATCCCACAAGGAGTAAATCTCCGGAAGTGGATTTCACATCGAGTCACTTATCTTTTCTAGATGAGTCTCTTGGTGACAGATTAATATTAACAATTTCAAGAATTATTTTTGGAATTTCACTTAATAAACGTGATTGTTCTGAAGGAGATTCCAGCTTCATTTTTCGGTCCATATATTCAGCAACTATATGAAAATATGGTTAGGGCACCACCATTTCATGACATTTTTGTTAAATGTGATGTCGTATTATAAGCTAAAAGCCAAAATGTTCTAAATTCTTTCCTAATTTAATTCTGACAATTTGTGCCTTAACCATATTTTCATACACTTGCTCAGTACATGAA